CCCCTAACCTCCCCCTGAAATCACCTTTCCTTGATAGCAACCACCCCCTTCCTCTTGACCATACACTGACAGCACCCTCATCAAGCCCCCATCCCGGGGCCCAGGAAGCAAATAGCGTAGGCACAGCCCTTGTAGTGTCAACATGTGACCTAACTTGCTTAGGGTAGCATGCTGGAACTTGGGATTCTTGGGCAGTTGCAGGGCTGATAGTTGTGCTTTGAGCTGGTGATTAATAATGGGCCGAACACACCCGAGTTCAGTTCCAGTTCGAACTTTAGAACATGGAAAAAGTTCAAACTCGAACTTTGAACTCAATGAAAGTCTATGGGACCGAAACTCTGAAAATCAAATGTCCCTATTTTGAAGCTTTATATGCAATTTATTGGCCATAAAAAGGTGTATGGGGATCCGGGGAGTGCCCTGGGGGACATGTATGGGGATCCGGGGACTGCCCTGGGGGACATGTATGGGGATCTGGGTACTGCCCTGGGGGACATGTATGGGGATCCGGGTACTGCCCTGGGGGACATGTATGGGGATCCGGGTACTGCCCTGGGGGACATGTATGGGGATCCGGGTACTGTCCTGGGGGACATGTATGGGGATCTGGGTACTGCCATGCGGCAAATGTATGGGGATCTGGGTACTGCCCTGGGGGACATGTATGGGGATCTGGGTACTGCCCTGGGGGACATGTATGGGGATCCGGGTACTGCCCTGGGGGACATGTATGGGGATCTGCCCTGGGGGACATGTATGGGGGTCCGGGTACTGGCCTGGGGGACATGTATGGGGATCCGGGTACTGCCATGCGGGACATGTATGGGGATTCGGGTACTGCCATGCGGGACATGTATGAGGGTCCAGGTATTGCCCAGGGGGACACGTATGGGGATCCGGGTACTGCCCTGGGGGACATGTATGGGGATCTGGATACTGCCCTGGGGGACATGCATGGGGATCTGGATACTGCCCTGGGGGACAGGAATCAATGCAAAAAACACTTTTAAAGGAGAAGTGATTTTAACATCGCTTAAAGTAAAACAATAAAAATGAAAAAATCCTTCAAATATGGTGCCTGGGGGGTCCCCTTAACCTGCCTGTGAAGTGGGGGATCTGTACGATGTATAGAACTTGCTGCAGCAAAACTGACATTTATAAGGGAAAAAAAAAAAAGCGTGAGCTTCCCCCTCCCTTTAGGTCTGGTAGGAATGTTAGAAGGGGCCCCATTTAAATAAAAGGAAAAAAAATGCATGGGGTTCCCCCCAAAAGTCATACCAGGTCTTTAAGATCTGGTAGGAATTTTAAGGAGGAACCCCACCCCCACAAATGGTGAAAAAAAGACGTGGGGTCCCCATAAAAATCCAAACCAGACACTTGATGCAAGCACAGGCCTGGCAGGAGAGGAAAGGGGGGGGGG